TTACAGCATGTTAGTCTGGAAAAGAGCAGTTAGAGCCCGATTTTAAAGCTGGGACTAAAAATTTGAAGAAATGGGTTTAAAACAAATCAGATAGCCATGGATGTGATGAAAAAACATCTTTTTGAGTCATCCAGCAGCTAGTTTTTGAAATTCTAAAGGTGCATTCACAATTTATGCCTGGTTTATCTGGTGTTGCTTTTTGCTTGAAATTCACATGACCAGCAAAAGCCTTTCACACGGCAGGCAAATTCACACAGTGGGTGAAATGCTCCTACATCATGGAGTCTGCTGGGCGTTGGTCCCACCTCATCAGGCAGACATGGATTTACAAAGCCACTGGCAGTGTTTCTAACTTTAGAAAGCTGAACAAAGCTATCGGCATTCCTAGTTTCACAAGATTCCCAGAGACGGAACCAAAATGGAGAATACCACCACCTCCTCCAGAGGCAAGGCCTGGCGGGCAATCGCTTCTCAGCAGTACTCCACCTATCTATGACCCAGTTCAGGGCCAAGCTGTGTTAAAGCATCACTCTATTGCAGCTGCAATCTTGATCTTTTTGGTTTAATAAAAGCAGTGTTGCATTATGTGCCCACCCCCGCCCAGTTATTGGTCCGTTCCATTTTAGACTGGAAAGTATTGTGCCTTACCAGACTGTGTGGTTTACCAGTGTGGCTGGCAAGGCTAATTGCAAATAAGCTGCTTTGCCAGATGTCAAGCCATGTTGGATATCCTTCAAAAAAGTTTTGTTAAAATGTAAATAAACATGCTCCTGTTTGGGTATTTAAAGTGAGAGTACCGAGAAATTCTGGTTTTCTTGAGAATTATCAACTCTTATTCAGCAATACAATTTGACTTTGGACAAAGCCAAAAAAGGTGATTCTGCAACTTGCAGATCTCCAAGCAACTGAGAAATTAATGCAATTCTTTCATCAAAAAGACTATCTCAGATTATTACTTTTTCACAAAAAAGAACCTCAACGATCCACAGAAATTTTGAAAAAAGATTTAGTCTGTTAACATTTAAGATTTCCCAAAATATATTTTTTAAATACTTTGTCCCAATCTGATTGAAATTGTTCCTGAACTGTTTCAACAAGAATTTGCATCATCTTGGTTTTTGTTTGACTCTTCAACAGCAGCCTGTGTGCCCCCCTGAAAAGCCCTCCAATGCTTTCTGCAGACTATTTTTCATTTGTGCACTGGCCTCTTAAAGAGTTATATCTCAAAAAAGACCCTTAACACAGACCTGAAAGAGCCCTACTGTAGTTTTCCAAAAATTGCATATGATTTTGTAGCACAGCCTCTTACAATCAGTTTTATTGTTTTTTTCTCTCCAAAACAAAGAAATCTCAGTTTGTAAGTCAGGTGTTATTACTCCTTTAATAAAAAGAGTTGATTGAGCAGTTTTAAGTAACTGCTTTCATGTTTTAAGTAATTTCTGTTTCTTGTCAAAATTATTGAATTTGTTTTTTTGTGATCAACTGGATCAAGAGTAGTTACACTTAAAAATGAATTCCTGTCACAAATGCAAAGGGTTCAGGGAAGAGCACAGCACCATCAGCACAGTGACAAAAGTGATTAATTATGTACTTGTTCCTCTTGATAGAAAGCAAAACTCTGTGACACAGTATTGATCTGTGAAAAGCTTTTGACACTACTGACCATGGTGCTTCAAAGCGAAAGCTTTTGAGCTTGTTGGATCATTTAATTTTCTGGTTTACATATTATTTGAGTGACTGTATACAGGGTATTAAATGCAAATGGCCTGTGTCCATGAGGGGGTGCACCAAGGCTCATTGTCAGGTCCCCTGCTGTTCATAATATACATGAATGAGCTAGGACAAATGTCTAATACGCTGAAATGCATTTTATGCCAATGACTGATTTATGTACAATTTTTTATTATCACCTGATCAATCTATTAAACCACTGAAGGAAGCTGTTAACATGGCCTAGCACACAGTTTTGATGCTAAAACTGGGGTTTTATTAAGGCTAAATTCATTATTTTATTTGCAAATACCCTGAAGGTTACTCTAACTATTTCTGTGTCTTGTCATGGAAATATCATAGAGGTTTATTTACACGTTCTGCCAGCTCGCCTGGCTTGACGTATATCCTCAGCCTGTAGCAGTTGATCTGTTTGAGATTATGGAGATCTGATGTAAATATGAAGGCCTCTGTTCATTCCTTTCATTATTGCAAAGCATTGACCCATCACTCTCAACCGTACTCTTGAATTGGATCGCTTTCTTTGTCCATCAGGGGTTTTTAGCATTGGTATACCTTTTTTATTAGGCCATTTTTGGGCTGCTGCTCTCCGTGATCTGTGATTTAATCACATAAACATGGTTGATTATATTTATTTGTCCTTAAATGACACTTTGCTGCTCTCTGTTTCCAGTTCCTTGCACAGAACTAAGATGAACGACTTTGGTTTACTCGGCTCCGTCTGGATGGAATAAATTAACTGACTTAATTCATTGAGCACTTTTAAGTATAGACTGAGGGAACTGCAGATGAGTCATGTAAATACATTTTAAGTATTTATCTTAATTTGTATGGCATTTTCTCATTATTTTTTGTTTGTTTCATTGTAACTGAGTAATTTCTGGATGCCTCTCAGTAAGAAAACTCTTGAAAGAGCATGTTTTTAATCTCAGTGAGAATTTACAGGGTGAATAAAAAAAAAAAATCACATAATTTCCCAAAGTACTTGATAATAGATACTTCATTGATTCAGTCTTGCCCTCCGCATGATGCAGGTTTCCAGCAGGGGTGGAAAGTAACGAATTACATTTACTCAAGTTACTGTAATTAAGTACTTTTTATGAGTAAATTGTAATTTTCTGAGCAGTTTTTGAAATATGTAATTTTTAATTGTACTCGAGTGAATTTTAATCTAAGTAGTTTTACTTCACTACATTTAAAACCCCCTCACGTTACTGAGTAAAAAAATAATAAAAAAATACTGATGATGAAAAAATTAAATACGGCCGGAAATTTAAACCTCTGTGTCACGGAACCGACACTTAATCGCCATTAAAAAAATAGAACAAGACTTTTGACTTTTAACAGCACTTTATTTACACAATTCAAACATATAAACAATTGATGTGAAAATAAGTGACAGTTAAAAATCACTATTAAAGTAAAACAAGTGTCAGTTAAAATCATTAAATGAGGAGCTTGTTAATAACAGTGGGATCCTGTTGCGTTTTAGTTTGATTTCTGGTATCTTTTGGACATCTAATTTTGTGTGCATTTTGAAAACTTTAAAACGTACTTTAAATTTCTTTATTCCTATCATGGTGTTGTCTGTTGGACAGTAGGATTGAAAATTGTTTGCACTTTATGGTGCAGGTTGTGACTGTCCTTGTGCTGTGAGGAAGTATGTTCTTTAGCCCAGCTGATCTTTTGCAAGTGTGGATGTCCACTGAAATACGCCTTTAAATCGATTAAAACACCTTGTGCTCAATTCGATTCATGACTCATCCTTTTTTGCATTAAATAACTCAAAGTAACTAAGTAACTTTTACTCAAATGACATTTTAAATGAAGTAATTTTGTACTTTTACTTGAGTAAATTTTTAGATGGGTAATTTTACTTTTACTCTGAGTAAAATTTAGGCAAAGTACTTTTACTCAATTACAATTTTTTAGTACTCTTTCCACCTCTGGTTTCCAGAGCCACAGTAGGCAAAGGAATCACTTAAGGATCACGGTTCTTTACTGTAGTAATGATGGTCTTTTAAACATACAATATGCTTGACATCTCGTAAAAAGAGAATCTCATTTGGTCCTTTAAGGTTCCTTTGGAGACAACAGTGCTTTAGCAATCGGTTGTGTACACCTTGCGGTTGATTCCCTACTAGGAATTTTATCATTTTTGATCTCCTACCTGATCAGTAATGTCTCACCAGATGTTAATTGCCTTTTCTTTCTACCAGCCACTGTTCCCGTAGCTTTAAACTATGCTTCCAGTTGTATCGCTAACAATATCTGAGGCCTTATAAAACAAAAACATAATTTTCCCTGTTTGTGGTGCAGCAATCCCCTTTCTAAAAATCTTGGACAGTTCTCCATATTTATGACTTGCAATTAAATCTGTCAACAGTTAAGGTATCTGAGATGTTTCTTATGTAGTACACCGGATGCACTCAAATCCCTTGGTTTTTGCATAATCTTTGGTTAAAAGTCTGTATTGCTTCTATATGAAGACTTGTGCATTTAAGGTTGCACAATATTTATATTAGTGTCATGTTTCTTTTGAAATATCTGAACACTTAGAAAGGGTTTTTCTTTTAGTGGGATTTCAGTATTTCTGCTGTAGATGTTTTTCAAACCATATATCGGTTGGTATTTAGTTGCAATGAGTAATTTTCTGTTACCTTTGAGAAGCATTGAGAGGAAAAGGAAACTTGCAGAAGGGACGTCCCATAGTGAGCTTTGCTACGACATCCTTGGAGATGAATTATCTGAAAAAACAATGAAGATTAAGCAGTAGACTACATGTGTGACATGTGTGACATGTGTACATGAGCGCCTCTACACAAAGAGCTGGGGATAACGTATGAGTCAGACTGTTTCCTTTGCAACCCGACCAAAAGATAAAGTAAATACACCTGGTGTGTGTAAATAGCTTTGTTTGGTGTGCAGCATGATCCCAGTATGTCACCATTGGGATGACAGAATAATAATTAAGACAGACATAGACCAGAGATTCATAGATTGCAATTTATTATCATTTTATTGCTACTCTGTCATCTTAATATTGAATTTAGAACATTATCAAGAAGCTTTACTCTGATTTCAAAGTGCTGGCCAGTTGATTGTGGACTCCAACTGATGTTTACTCAGGCTCTGCCTACAGCTGCTCACACAGTGTGCATCAGCTCAGTCATCTGACAAGGCAGGCTCCATGCATCTGTCATAGAGACTGAAAACCAGGAACAAAACTAACATCATCTGCTTCACCTGTATTTATTCTCTTTACGCAGCAACTGCCTGGCTGCCCAGCATCGCCACGATGACTGAGAGTAGAAGGGAAGCGCTGGCGGCCGCTGCCCCGGAGCTCACCACTGCCTCATCCTCAACAGCTGGCTCCAACACCACCAGCTTGGCCGGGCCGGGCACAGGGGAGAAGGATGAAGCCTTCTCCAAGCTGAAGAACAAGTTCATGAATGAGCTCAACAGAATCCCATGTGAGTCTTTTTTTCTTAACTCTTGAATGTGACCCACAAGTTTATCCTTTGCTTTGCTGGTTCTAACTGTGTTGCCGCTCCAACGCACGTGATTTAACAACCGACTCGGCTCCTCAGTATGCTGTCAAGCTCTGATGATCCAGATGATCTATTTATCTATCTAATCTAAGATATTGTAAAAACCGCTAAAAATCTAAAACATGAAGACACTGCTGCTGGAGGACTGAAATTAAACATTACTGCTCTAAATATTTTCAATCTTGTCTACATAGTTGGCATTTTCACCCTTTATTTGAGTTTGTAAACACTTAGGATGACCTTAACATATATAAACATAGTCTGTATGATGAAATTACTTGTAGTGGTTGTCTAAAACTCCATAAAACTACTTCCAGTTATCCATTTAGAAGTGATTTTAAAATGCTATTAAAGGGCCTCAATTACTTACCAGATAGTTGAGTTGCAAAAACTGTTGTCTTTCTGTCCTGACATCTTTTTACTTCACTTACAGAGGTTGTCTCAGCAGCTGCTGATGAAACTGATGCTTTTCTCTCTTAAAACTAGTGAAAGAGAAGGAGTGGAGCCAATTTTAACACTTTTTCCTATCATGATTTCCTCTTTTACCTATGTTAATGATGATGGTGTGCAGTCTCTTGAGGAACACTTGAGGTTAGATTAGAAATTTGTTTGAACCTGTGAATGACCAAGTCAATTTATTTTGTCCTGAAATATAAAACTCTGGAACTAAAACAGGATTTACTTTTTGTTTTGCCTTTAATCAACAAAGCATCATAAAAAGACAATATCATTTCTCACATGCAGTCACTACTAAAACACCCCAAGACACAGATCATTCTTTCTTTCCTTCTTTATTTTATTGAATCAGCAAATCGTTTATAATATGTAAGAATCGTTTATGAATTGTAACACTCCTGATTCATTCTCCACAAAAACTGTTTTTGAAAGTTTAACACTCACTGAAAAGTACGTGAGTCACTAAAACTGCTTTTAGTAGGTTTACAAATATAAAATATGTGTAATTTGAATCCTTGTGATTTTAGAGCTATTTATCTGAACCTTTCAAAGCGATCCTGATTGTATACCCCATGAGTCAGGGATGATTCAGCAGTAGTTACATGGTCCTTTTTGTTGGCAATGCTCAACAAACAGTCAAGGTCTGCCTTGACCTTTGAAAAAGACATAAAAAAAATCAATTGTTGAAAATTCATGAACTTTTCATCTTTTGTTAGGCAGTTTCTTGGTAAACACTGGAAAAGAAGTCTGCTTTCGGCACTGAATAGTGTTTCTTGCACATGAAACCTCATCTAAAGTACTCAGCAGACATGTCAAACGATTCTAAGTAATTGTTTTTCTGATTACTTTATTTTAATGTTATCAAAATACACTTACGGTAGTTTAGGAAGAAAATAATCCCCTGTTAAATGTTTTTAAATTCATCACAGTTGTAATGTTACCGGCAGATCTAACAATTCCTATAAAATAAATGATGATGCAGTGTTTTTAAATATTATCAGAGTACCTTGTAAGTTTTATTTAGTGATCCATACCATCCCTGGGGTATAAAGACAATGTGAAAGAGAGGCTACACTGTCCTTGGTGCTTAAGGGGCCACTGCCTGGAGTTTCTGTTGGGATCTGACTGCTGGGATTTCTGATTTACAGGCTTGACCTCTATTGACTTAGACTTGGACAACTTTTATTGTCATTTTGTCACATTTCATGACATTGTGGGTGTCATGGGTGACATAGTGACATGGATGCATTGGGAGTTAGGTGTTATTCATATCTATGCCTCTCTTTGCTTGGGTTCTGCTGCTCCTTTGCTTAGTGACCTATCCCCGTTTAGAGCATATGTCTGCTCTGTCGGGGTGTGTGGTGTTATTCCATCTGGGCCTGCTGCAGCCTTCATGAACTGAGACTATCTGCCCCTTGCTGCTCTTGGCTGCTAGGTGCCTCAGGTTGTTGCCCTTCACACCATTCCAAGACCTCCGTACAATCAGGTGGCAAATGAATAACAAAAACACAGTTAAAAAAAAAAGTTTCATATTTTGTTCAAATAGAGTGCCTTTCTATTAAGTCAGAGTTACTCTACAGTATGTTTGTGTCAAAAAACAAGATAATTTTATTTAACCTTTTAAAAAATATGCACCCTACTCATAATACCATTCCAATAAATGTTTTTTTTTTTCTGACTGGGATTTAAAAAAAGAAAAAGAACAGAAAATTATTTTGTCTGTACCGGATTTTCCTTTTGAAAATTATTAAAGATCGCTTAGCAGCAAATGTACAAAGTATTAGAACAGAATAGAATAAAATAGAAAAATCCTTTTATTGTCCCACAATGGGGAAATTCTACCAGCATAGGTGCCAAGAGGCATTAAAAACAATCATTTATTGATCTAGTTAACTTTTTTCTCAAACATTTTTTTATTGAATTTCTATAATCTATAATCTATAATCTGAAAATGTCATTGTCTCCTTTCTATCTCCTCTTTCTTTCATCTTTTCTCTTTTTTCTTCTTTTTTCCTTTTTCTTCTTCTGTTTTTCTGCTCTATTTACATTGCAGAGTCCATATAAACTGTAAAACTCCTTGCATAATTATAATTAAGCAATTTATATGCATGAAACAAGTGGAGCAATATGGCATTTGCCATACTGCTCCACTTGTGAAAGTAAAATCTGTTGAACTTTTTTTGGCATCAAGACAATTATTCTTATTGCCACATTGCCAGACAGGACACTGTAGAAAAAAAAAGAATATCTATAATTTATTTTCATATAAACTAAACGTTTTATATTAAGTTTTTCTTTGTCTGGATTTCTGCTGCAATAAAAGATGCCGCTCTTGTCTTACTGGGGATGTCAATAAATGTTATCCTTTGCCAAACTAAATTATTCGATAATAAACATCTCTTCCATCAAATCTTCCATGTTTTCATAATCAAATCTCCAAATAAAATGTATCAACATCTGTGCATGAGTCCATGACTTTCTTTATCATTTTGCATAAAGCCAACCATGGACATCTGAAGGATTTATTTAATCAAATTCCCAGATTTATTCATGAATACAGGTTGGTGTGAAAGTAATATTATGAAGATGGCTTAATTTCTTCACTATGGACACCATTCCATGGATTAAATTGTAGTCAGTGTCAAAAAAGACAAAAAACTCCTCAGACAAAGGAATGTTTATCCTTGACAGGAGGCAATTTCCCCAAAATAAAATCCATTATTTATATTAAGATAACTCTCCTGGCTGCAGCTTTAGAGATTTAGGTGTTTTCTTGGAACGTGGTTTTGGTTTGAAATGGATCCATGTTTGAAGGTCAGTGAGGATTTTTTATTTCAGAGGATTTTATCTGAGTTTTGCTGAGAATGATCTGCCCTCTGGCTTCACATTAAAAGTCTAGGTCCAACATAGTTTTCCTGTCCCTTCAGAGGCAGATGTTTTCTATTTATTTTCTTTTTTTTTTATCATTTATGAACTTATCTTTGATACTCCTCTGGTTGAAAAAAGTTTTCTGAGCTCATCCAACAAAAACCCTACTGACCATCATGCAGGTTGCCGCCGCTCAGTCATACCTATTACTGTTTTCTATCACCTCATTCCCTCTATCAAAAGGAGGGGACTTTGCTCTGCTGTGCTGCCAAGCGGATGATGAATGCCCAAAAGGCTTGTTTACTCTGTGGAATATCGACGGGGTCTGGGGGAAAGTCATGCAGCAAATTTAACAAGAAAAAGTGAGAGCAGAAGCTGCATGCCCAGCACCGCCTCTCCACCACAGCTGCAGAAGATCTTCTTTCAGGCTTATAACCCAATTTAAGCTCCATGCGCTTTGAATGTGTGGTGGCATGAAGCTGTCACACAGACCTAACTCGCTGCTAAATTTCTGTCAGTCATTACAATTCTAAGCTGGGGATTTTTGTCAGCCTATGGATCCTGCACTGCAGAAACTAAAGTTATATAAATTATGACAAAATTTGTTTTTATATGGAAGCCACAGTCTTACTAATATATATATATATATATATATATATATATATATATATATATATATATTTCTGCACTGAGAGAAATAATGCAACCATTTTTGACATTTACTTAATCTAATTCAGTTGCGTAAATATATATATATTTTTTTTTTTATGTTAGCAGGGTAGGACATGAAACAATTGTCTTAAAGTAACTTAACATGATTAAGTAAATGCCAAAACAAGTTGAATATATTTCAGTGTACATTTCCATTTAGTTTGCAGGCTGCTGTCATCATCCTCAGATTCTTTTTAGCTGTTCTGACATAATTGCTGTAGCTTCTTGCTTTAACATAGAAAATAAATAATTTAATAATTCTAATTGGTGCACCAAGATCCTTTTTTGAAAAATATGGCTGCTTTTTTGTTTAGTTGGAGAAACATAACATAAAAGTTAATAAAGTCCCCAAATTGATTTATTACACACACATATATATATATATATATATATATATATATATATATATATATATATAAATAAAAACAATAAGCAAACAAAATTCACTGTAAATGTAATGTTTCCGTTTGTTTTTTGGGGGGTATGAACAAAGAAACTGATAAGAATCTCTTTCTATCAAAGAACCCCTTGTCTCAGGGTTATATATTCACAATGGTTGTTTTTCAAACTCAATCTCTAAAATAAGAATAGCAAAATGTTAACCAGTCATTTATTGCTGCTTCTCTTTAACTGGGCACACTGCTACAAAGAGCTTGTCAGGGTGTGGTGTTGGTTGGAGGAAACAAATGCAGAAACAAGTTGGCTGAGGTGAATTTAAGAGGGTTTAATTAAGTTAACAGGAGCTGAGGCAGGAATCAAAAATCCAACGGAAATTACAGGTTCACAGGAGCTGAGGCAGACATCAAAAATCCAACAGGAATTACAGGTTCACAGGAACTGAGGCAGGCATCAAAAATCCAAAAAAAATTCAAACATCCAAAAATCAC